AAGGTTTGGCTCGAGCCGGCAGACTCTTCTAGTCGGGTCCAGAGGGCAGAAGGTGCGGCCCTTCTTAGTTACCGCAGTGTGCGAGCCAGCGAGCGGGTTCCCAAGATTCACACACAAAGACACCACCTCCTCAAAACCTCTCTCAAAGTCCCAAATGCCGACTTTACCTCTCATCCAGCCACTCCCTCAGCCGCCGCTGTAGCTGAAGGAACATCCATTCATTCCTGTTTGCTCAGTCGGGGAGAGGCTCAAGCCTGAAAACTGTAGAACGGGAGGGAATCTTTACTAACTAAACATCTGACAGGATTAGCATTTACACATATAAAGAATCCAGAAGACAAAACGCCAAGAAATAAAACAAACAAAAAACCCTCATTGAGGGGCTAGAGAGATGGCTCAGTGGTTAACAGCACTTGCGACTCTTGACTCAGACTCGGGTTCGGTTCCCAGCACCCACAGGGAGGTTTACAACCAGAACTCCAGGTTCAGGGAGATCCATCACCCTCTTCTGACCTCCACAGGTACACATGCAGGCAAAATACACACACACATAAAGATAATTTTTTTTAAAGCCCAGTCAATAAGTGGGCTAATGAAATGAACAGTCGGTTTTCAAAAGATGAGGTACGAATGGCCAAGAAACATGAAAAAGTGTTCTAAGATGCAAATTTAAACTATGCTGAGATTCCAGCTCTGTTAGAACAGAAAACTAATGACGACAAGTTATCAGGAGGATGTGAACCAAGGGCCTCCCAATAGACTTCTGGTGGGAACCTAACTAGTCCAGCCACTATGGAACTCAGCATAGAGATGCCTTACAACTAAAACAGAGCATCCAGACCACCCAGCTACCACCAAGTGAACACGTCACAGAAACACATCCATGTGTACCGTCACCCTTATGTAGATAAGCTTTGCAACCGACCTGTGTCTGTCAACAGATGAATGGGTAAATGTGGTCTCTGTGCACAGTGGAACTCCCCAACCCTAAGGAACAAAGCCATGTCATTTGCAGGGAAACAGACACAAGTGGAGATAATCGTACTGAATGAATTAAGTCAGGCTTAATTAACAAAAATATCATGGATCCTTCATTTCACCACATGTGTATGTAGATGGTAAAACTGTCTACAGGGACAGAGGTGAGAGAGCAGCTGGGAGGAGAATGTGACCAAAGTAATTTATATACTAGGATGACAATGTCCTTAGGAAACCCAGTGTCATGTGCAGTGAATACACTCCAACTTTTTTTAAAAAATGAGTATTTTGGCAAGGTCCTTCATAGGTAACAGAAAGGAGATCATGGGTCAGGTCTCCTCAAGAGTTCACACCCTTCATGGCGGCTGATGAGCTTGCCTGTGAATCAACACAGGCCTCACTTCTTTGCAACGATGATTCATTTCACCAGGAGCCTGAAAAGAAAGAATCCAGCCACTCCCCCGAGGAAGCAGGAAGCTGTGGGGCCAGGCAAGGCCAGGTTCCTTGGGGTGACTGTTCTCTGCCTGATGCCCCCACCCCACCAATCAGGCTTACATTGTTTTTCTTTATGCCTGGAAGCTTTGCTTTCTTTCTAGACAGGGATTTATTTTTATTTTTATTTTTTTTAAAAGAATAGCTGGAGTGCACACCTGTAATCCTAGCACTTGGGAGGTACGGTAGAAGAATTGAGTGGTAGGGGTCAAAGTCATCCTAGGCTCCCAGTCCATGTGGAGGTCAGCCTGGGCGGAGACTGTCTCATATCAGAAGGTATGGGGTGCAGGGAGGGCTGGGGATGCGCCTTGATCTTCAGGACTCCATAAAGCCACGACAACGACCGTGCATACATACAATTCCCGTGCTGGAGAGTTGAAAGCTGGGTGATTGGCAGCTCAGGGTCACCCCGCGCTGTACAGTGAGTTCAGGGCTAGCCAGGGCTGAGTGATTTCCCTGTGTCTTAAAGATAGAAAGGTACTTTCTCATTTCTAGCCAGTAGAATCCCTTAACTTTCACCTTAGGAAATGTTTGAGAAAACGGACTGGTAACCCAATTTACAGAATCCTGGCTAGTTCTTTCTGGTCAACATCCGAGGGTTCCTGGCTCAGAGCCCAAGAACGGCCTTGTGTGGCAGGAACCCTTGTTCACCTCTAGGGGGCGGTATTTTCACTTCACTTCCTGTAAGATCAGCTTCCAAGGCAGCTTCCATTTGCCCACCTGGGAAGGAGTCCACTTTACAGCCATGGCTGGGGCCTTTCCCCACGACTGGGGTCAAACAACAGCATAGTTAATTAAACCTAAAATACTTTCTGAGTTTCATAAAAATGACAAATACCCAATTTTGAGCTCTTAAGAGATTGAAGAGAAATGTGTATACCGATAATACCTAAAGTGACCTTTCCCTTCCACCTCTAGAGGAGGTCCAGGAAGGAGTCCTGGGGACTCCCAGGCTTGTGCAGTGGGTTACGAGAGCAGTGTGGAGAATCCGAAGCACAATTCTTCAGTGTGTCTAGATTGTCAGACCCACTATGGGCTTCTGGGATAAAATAACGGGCTTGGGTTTGACCTAACGCAGGGAGGTGTGGCAGAGAAGACACTGGGAGCAAAGCGTGTTCGTGGCAGAGGGAGAGACACAGAGGGATGCAGAGGAATTGGAGGAAGGCCCCTTTAAAAGGTGTGTTTAGGGAGTTCTGCCGGGTAGTGCAAACCCTGAATTGCTTGCTAACCTAAACAACTTTGGCAAAGCTTTATTCATTTTGCCTTCCAATGTTTCGGAGTCGTTTTTATTGAAAGTCCAAACTTCTTGAAACTGGCCATAGACACGAAGTAGAGCCACCCAGCGCTCACCCTATGCTAGGCTCTGTGGTGCATAGTTCTCACAGTAACCAACAAGGAACATGTCACGCACTCTGGAGAGTTTACCAGTGGCCTTTCTAGAGCCCAGTAACCCCAAATCCAACGAGGACAGCCTGGTCCCAGTTCCACCCACAGGTTCTGGTCTTAGGAGACACACTACCAAGTTCTTTCAAGTAAGCCCCAGCTGCTGTGAGCCCTACACCAGGATGTAGTCCTTGGTTAAGAATGAAAATTTCCTGCGCCTAGGTGGTGGGTAGACGACGAGGAGATTATTTCTCCAAGCAAGAGAACAATAAAGTCCTGAGGAAGCCGTGGTCAGGTTTAGATAGGACAAGAATGAGGCAATCTGGCTGGTGGCATGGCTCAGTGGTTAAGAGCAACTCTGGCTCTTCCTGAAGACAGAAGTTAGGTTCCCAGTACCCACTCTGGGCAAGTTCATAACCAAAAACCTGTGAACTTCTGACGCCCTCTTCTGGCCTCAGAGGACACTGCACTGTCTTGTACAAACCCCCACAATACAAATTTGAAGTTTTTCTTTTAAAAGAATGAGGAAGTCATCAAAAAAGGGCTGTGTGTGTGTGGGGGGGGGGGGAGACCGTGAAGAGGGAGGGAGGGACTCCTAAGTCAACGCCAGGCCAGGTACCAGTTAATTAACAGGCAGTTGACAGGATCACAGCCAGTAACACATGGGGGCACTTTCCGGCAAGGAGTTCTTATTACCTCTAATTATGTGTATGTGTCCCTGCAGATGCAGTCACCTGATCCCCTGGAGTTTACAGATGACTGTGAGCCACCTGGCATGGGTACTGGGACCTCTGTGAGAGCAGTACTCACTCTTGACTGCTCAGCCATTCTTCAGAACCCACAGGTTCTTATAAAATCGAGCCTTGAAGTCCTGTGAGGACTGCTTAAGCCTGAGCCGTCTAGCTCTCTCCGACCAAGGACAAAAGCAGCACAGGTGACAAAAGTAACAAAGGAAGCAGCCCCCATAGCTCGTGTTTCTGCCATGAGCTGACTACCCTGGAAGAGATCTTTCCACCCTGCGTGGCACCGGTTCATTTCCTTACTGTGAAACTACTCACCTGCTGTCACCTGCAGTCATTCCTGTCCCCAAGTGACACCCATCACACCCATGCATCCCTCTGAGTTTCTAGAAGCATGGGGGGCGGGGAGGGCTGGGCGTTAGGGGGATACCATGCCGATGGCGCATACCCTGTGCTTCGGAAACAAGAAGTACAGGCCTGGAGCTCTGGTGTCTGTGTCCTGGTGACGCCATTTCTTTACAGAATAGTTGTAAAACAGGGCATTGTGTAAGTGAAAGTGCGATTGTGAATGCAGGTTGTCTCACTGGACACTTCTGAGAGTGGGACTTTAGAGTCTGCAAGATTGCTCTCCTCAAATCCCGACCTCTGTGTTCCCACAGTTCTTACAACAGCGCCATTGAAATGGTGTGGAGCACGGCTGGGAGGGAGTGGTGCCGCCTGGGGCCCAGGGATCCCGCCTGGCTCTTTCTGGGCTCAGTGGCAAGCCTGGTGTTGTGACTTCCACAGGAAGGGACAGTGGGTGGTAGCTGAGCTGATTTTATCTCTGAACTCATGAGGATTTTCAGGTTACTGATACACTAAGGTCTGACTCACTGGAAGGACTGACTGCATGTCAGATCTATGCCCAGGAAGTCCTAAAATGACAACTTACAAAGGTGTATGTTTTCAGCTATGGATCTGAGCAATTTTAAACCCAGACTTGTTCAACTGTCTTGATTGTTTAAATGTAATACGGTTCAAACTCCAAATACTTGAACCTTTTCATGATGTGACTTTTAGGTGTAACAGCTATTTGGTAATTTTATTCACAAAATAGTATTTAAGTTTTGGATAGCAACAATCTTCAGACAACAAGAAAATAAAACAAAACAAAAAAAAAGAAAGAAAGAAAGAAAGAAAGAAATCACACCAGCAGAACTTTCAGAAACATGGTTTTTATTCTCGCTGTACCTTCTCAATGCCCAACAGTCTTCAAAATGAGGGCCTCTGGAGCTCGATGGTTCTGGACAACTGCTGACTTGTATTGCTTTTTAAAAAGTAACTACAATACACTTTTATTTATTTATTCCTTTAAAGCAGCAGTACCTGTTCATATTTTGTAATAAAAACCTAAAATATTTCTAGTAGTTCCAAGTGTCTTATATTTATTAAGTGTTGGCTTCATAAGCTTTTTCAGAAATAAGTGCACTTCTACAGAGAAAATGAATTTGAAATGAAATGAAAAATAACTGTCACCATAGCAAAACAGCTGCTTTAGCATTTTCCGAGTTTTAACAATTCAAAGAGAGAATATATCATGTAGCCAGGGTCTTTTCTGACCCTCAAGTAACTTACTTGTAGACCACCAAAAGACAGGTAGCTATTATTCCTGACAGCATAGACTTTCTAAGGTCTTCTATATCAAAACACCAAAACATGCTTTAAAATCCTTAGAAATGCTCAGCTTGTACAAAGTTATGCATGTGTTAAAAAGCTATGCTGTTACAGGAATAAATGAGCCCTATCTTAAGTCTTAGCAACCAAAGAATATTTTAATATCCCATAACTGACACTGTCGATAAACTAACAGCTGATTAGTTACCTATGGCTAAGTGGTCACTGCTTCTTCTGGACAGCCTAGGGTTTCACACACCTGCAGACTTCGCTGTTAATAACTGCTTTAACATGCCGGGCAGTGGTGGCTCACGCTATAATCCCAGCACTCGGGAGGCAGAGGCAGGCGGATCTATGTGAGTTTGAGACCATCGTGGTCTACAAGAGCTAGTTCCAGGACGGGCTCCAAAGCCACAGAGAAACCATGTCTGGAAAAAACAAAAAACAAAAACAAAACAAAACTGCTTTAACACAAAGGTTTTAATGAAAAAGCAAAAGTCTGTATTAAAACAGGAAACTAATAAATTTGGATTATACACACTTCCTATATCCTTAGAAAAACCCAAACCACAGAGCTTGTAGTAAAACTTTGATTCAAAATAGAGACTAGAGAAAATGTCACTATTCCCAGTGATTAGATAGGCTTTGTCACTTAAATTACATGATCCCCCTGAGACATGGGGGAAATATAATGGAAAAAAAGCCAATCTCGGGGAATCTTTGCTATTTCCTTAAATTGCACCCTGACTCATATTTTTAGCTTTCAACGGGACAGGCACAGTCTAGTTTCCTTTAGACAGCAGCTTAAGAAAGGCTTTCACGAGAAACCCCTGAAGACTGAATTGTGTGCTAACTCCAGCAAAGCCAACTTCCCACTGCATTTCACTGTTTCCTCCAGTCACAACAGGGAGGTCAGACGAAGTGCTGCGCCCTACACCATGGAAACACAAGCTGGGTAATTCTTCTTTACACTAATCTCAACCTACCCCAGTCACCTGGACTTGACGATGCCGTCATCCTGTGGTAGTTAGATAGATATTGCACCTGAGCTAGAGAGTACAGCAAGATCTCCACGTTGAACCTGGTCACCCCACAGTCCCATTTTACAGCCTGGGGAGGGGGCGGTTTCCTGCTGCTAAATACTTTTGAAATAGGTGAGCTGGAGAAGCTCATATACCCTGCATAAATTAAGGCAGCTAATTGAAGTCATCAGTGAGATGAGATATCCACCGTGTCCAGTCTGCTCTCTCCAAACACTCGGTGGTCACAGGCTCAGGCTACAGTTGAGCCGGTAGGCTGACAAGTGGTTAGTACTTGCCAGACACAGAAACTCAGCAAAACACTTCAAGAGCTGGTGATGGCCTTTGATCAAAGAGGAGTCATCCAGCAGCAATGTTAAAAAAAAAAAAAAAAAAAAAAAAAAAAAGCTTTTGGAAATTTGCACAACGCATTACTCAGTCAGTCCCCCGAGGAGAGACATTTCCTCCCAATAAATCCTCATTCCATCTCCATCGCAGATGGTAAATCTTTGCCATTCACTGAGAGGTTACTTCTCAACTACAACTTAGGAAACTAAACCTCTTCAGAGAGTTGTTTTAGAATCAAAACGCTGAGCAAGAAAAGATGACGTCACCACTAGGGAAATGCCCAGGGAATTTGATGCTGACTTTTCCTGTCCAGTCTCCAGTCACACTCACCCAGCCTGCACCCGCTTCCTTTACTCCACTGTGGGCTTTAACCACAGTGATGAGCTAACCATGAACACGACCCTGTCAAAGGTCTGTCATGTGGCGTCTAGCGCTCCCTGGGAAGCGGAATTCCACTCGCCACTGACAGCCACTGCTCAGGAGCTTTGGTTCACTGGAAAACAATGGCACAAAGGTTACCTACCAGCACAGCAAGGACATGTACCAACTTTGCAGAGAGCCAAAGTGACTACTCACACGCTTGTTCTCTATGTGTTCATTGACATGATCGGAAGTTTAACATTTAAAAAAATAGTTTAATAAAAATACACTAGGTTCTACAAGCAGCTTTCATGGCCATTTCTGAAACTCAACTCACCATCACCCAGTTAAAATAATGCCATCCTCTTGTTATAAAAGAAGTCCTTGTGTTACAATAAAAGTAACTGGCACTTGCTCAATCACAGCAGTGTGTCCCTGTGTGTGTAAAACAGTCGTCACTACTTCTCAGCGAAGTCAGCCTTGGTAGATGCTGGAGTGAGGTGAGACATACGTCCTCACCCTGACCGAAGCTCACCGCTGCTCTCCCAGGGGCTGTGTGAGCACCTGGCAGGGAATTCTAATGTTGAAGTCGGTATTCTTTTCCCTAAGTTCCTTAGGACCGCCACAGAAACTGTCTTCACTCGGAGCCTACAATGTCCAAACCAACAGGGCGAGTGTTCTAACAGCAGCTACAGATGGCTTTTTTTTTTTACTGATTCAAGACCCACACGCTTTGCAGTGAAGCAGGTACACCAAGGGTGAGTGACCTCAGGCTGCCACGCTGTGCAGGCTGCCGTCAGTGCTGTGCAGTTCTGGCTGGATTAGTGTTGCAGTTGGAAGCGCAGCCCATGGGCAGAATGGACCTCAACATGCACGTGGGCAGTGCAGTTAGGAGGAAATGTCGGTTCCTTTTGTTCCAGTACCTTTGTATAATAAAGTTAATACAAACAACAAAATATTTGGAAAAAAAAAAAAAAAGAAGAAAGAAAAGCCGAGCGATTCCTGTAGTAGTCTCAGAATCCGACCCTGTGGAAGTTTCTCAGGCTGGTGAGCGCCAGCGTCCTCGGAATGTCTGGTGCTGATGCCATCCAGCCTGGAGATGCAGCTACCTGAGTTCTTGGCTGTGGGTGACTGTGAACATCACTCATAATTTCCCAGCTTTCATGTATGTGGGGATGGAGCCGCGCTGCGTCAGCCCTTCAAACCTTTTATAGGTGTAATTGAGGAAAACCCAGTCTTTGGATTTGTAGTCGGGCTCTGTGGTATTCGGCACTGGAAAGAGAAAAGAGTTAAGAAGGGCAGAGGGACGTCACTAGCTGCATGTCCCTCACCTTGCAGGTGACTGCTGTGTGAGGTCTGCTGTGAACCTGTCTTACCCGGCTGTAAGATGTCAGACTCAGGGAAGTCATCAAAGTTGGAGGTGTCGTCAATGCTCTTGATTTCGATAGGAATGGCTGCCGGCCTTTCCCTGAAAGAGCATGGGAAGTTTTCTTAACTCTTCACTGTCCAACAAACCATTCTTGAAAGTCCTGTCCACCACTGCATGGGACAGGAAACCCAAGGGCGCCTGCTACGCATCTGAACACAGCTATGCGGATGATGTCAAGATGGCTGAGTAATTTTTCACTAAAATGTCTTTATTTGCTTGGAATTTTTACACGTTTGCATGAAGACTTTCTCACCCAGTGTTCCCCATCTAGTACTAGAGACTGAACAACAGCTGGACAAATACTCTACCACTGAGATAAGACATATTTTTTTTTAAGGTGAAAAAAAACAAGACCCAATGAAAGGAAAATTAGAAGAGAAGGAATTTTGGTTTTTGTTTGTTTGTTTGTTTTTTGAGACAGGGTCTCTCTGTGTAGCCTTGGCTGTCCTGGAACTCACTCTGTTGACCAGGCTGGCCTTGAACCCAGAGATTCGCCTGCCTCCCAAGTGCTGGGATTAAAGGTGTATGCCAGCATTCTGGCTCAGACACGGCATCTCACTGAGATTTATAGGTGATATGGAGTCTGTGGAGACAGTGAGATCTACCTAAGTGAGTCAGGGCTACAAGTCTAGTGAGGATTAGTGAGCCTGTGCAAAAGAGGGCACACATACATGTCAGTGATAAAATCCGAATGCAAAAACTTGTCAGTCATATAAATTTTAAGAGAACCAGAGAGGTTAGGTTAAAAAAAATACCTCCACAAAAAATGCCTTATGGTAGTAGATACATTTAACTATAGAAATAGTTAAAAGAAACCATCACTTAAAACTTTTAAATTACACTTAAAACTTAAGTTATACTCTCTCTCTCTCTCTCTCTCTCTCTCTCTCTCTCTCTCTCACACACACACACACACACACACACACACACACACACACACACACAAACCCCACAAGTGTAGAGGTCAGAGGACAGCATTCAGCTGTTGGCTCTCTCCTCCTACCACGCAGGACTGGGGATTGAACTGAGTCTCCAGGCTTTCCCTGCTGAATCACCTCAAAGGCCCTTTATCAGCTTTTATTTACTTTTTTTCAACAAATTTTTAAAGGATCTACTGGGTGCTAAGCCTACCACACTATGAAAAAGCACGTACTGTCCGTGTCTATACAAGAATTAGTCTTAACTAAGAGTAATATGCGCCTTCACTAGAGGTCCCACTGTGTGCCCAGGACTTTCATGAGCACACACCATACATTTCTCATCTTCCCCTGAGGAACTGTTGACATCTTGTCCATGGTGTCTTACCTAGACTTTCTAGACCCAGGCACGATGACTATGGAAGTCTAGTTAAGACTCAACTGGGTGGAAAGAGCCACAACCTTGGCCTCTGTCCCCAACTAGCACTGAGCTTAGACAGGCCAGGCTCTGCTCTGCGACCTTTCCGTAACAGACACAGGGAAGCAGAGCAGCAGACCAAGTCTATGACGTCTCAGATGAGGCAGAGCTGCCTCTTGTATTTCGTCTATAACAGTGGTTTTCAACCTTCCTGTCGCTGTGACCCTTTAGTGCAGTTCCTCACGCTGTGGTGACCCCACCCATAAAACCATTTTTATTGCTACTTCAAAACGGTAATTTTGCTGCTGTTATGAATGTGTTTGTTGATGGTCTTAGGCGATTGCTGTGAAAAGGTCGTTCAACCCCGCAAAGGGGTCATGAACTACAGGCTGAGAACCTCGGGTCTATAAGAATCAGAGGCACATTAACCACCAATCCAGAAGCTCCCTTTGTCAGCCCAGGCCTCAGAACATACCTGATGTGGCCCCAGTCTACACCCTCAAAGAAGGGGTGGGCTTTGATCTCTTCTACACCACCGTTCCCAATTCTGTTTTCAGAGTCGGTACAAAACCTAGGAAGGGAAAACAGACGTCAGCCACATACTTCACTTGCAACTCTGATTGTATCCCTTCAAGTGTTTCTAGGAAGCATTCTAATTTAGTGATTGAGTACACTGGGGTAGGAGAAACATGGAGAAGTACAATCACCCACAGACATTCTGCAGTCACTTCTTTCATTGCTTGAAATAATTAAAACAGGGCTGACATGATTACTTTAAGACTTTTATCACTTAATGTACTAAGAAAACTTCGCAGCGCTGTTCAGTATTTTCCTGTGAGGTAATTTTTTGAGACCTGTGTATGGAGACATCGTAGTGTTACATCCATCGATGCTGCTGAAGACAGGTGAGTTCCAATTTTTCACAACTAAAATAACACAAGAAATGTGCCTAACTCTTTTTGCTCCTACATGGTAACACGCTCTATTAAATTCCCAGAAATAGAACTGCTGGTCAAAGGCCATGTATAGTTTAACAATTCTATACAGTACGCTGCCAGCTGTCCACTGACAAGGCTTGTCACAGTTCATATCCTGTTGGGGATGTCTGTTCACTGTGTGAAGATACATTGCTGTGACTGGCATAATAAGAGCAGAATGGCCATTGGCTAGGCAGGAGGTACAGGTGGGACTCCCAGGGAGAGAGAGGAAGAGGGGAGGATCTAAACACGCAGAAGAAACCAGGAGACACGGAGAGGAAACAAGAAGAGAGGTAAATACCACAGGACAAACACAGATTAATAAAAATGGATTAGTTTAAGTGATAAGAACTAGTTAGGAACAAGCCTGAGCTACAGGCCGAGCTTTCATTAATGAGGAGTCTGTGTCATTATTTGGGAGCTGGCTGGAGGACAGAAAAAGAGTCGTTACAACAGCTCTTTCTCCCCTCACAGGAGTGCTGCAGCACCTCCTCCCACCGCCCTCTGCTTAGGTGCCTGTGACTTTCATGGCAGGGGCTTCTGCTTCTAATACATTTACCCTCCTTTCGTTTCTGACACACCCAGTCCTGAAGTCTAACAGAAGTGACCCTTTGCTAAAAATATCAGTATGTCCAAGAAGATCTCTTCTCTGATCTAAACCCCGCTTTCCCACAAACTTCTTTGTAAGCATTGGCGTTTTGGAGGGAAGGAGAAGTAGGTAATTAAATGCACTGGCAGCTCTTGCAGAGGACCTGGGTTCAATTCGCAGAAACCACACTAGGTGGCTCACAACTGCCTGTAACTCCAGCTCTAGGGATCTCCTAGCCTCCATGAGCAATACCCAACACACTTAAACATAAAAATTAATAAAGTCTTTTTAGAGTTTGAATTTTGTAAATCCTCTATTAAAACTGACCAGATCACTCGGCATTCTCTCCCCGCCCCCAAACACCTGCCCTGCCTCAGAGAAACAGCTCGTGTGGGCACTGGGAAGTTTTAAGTCACCAACCTGAGAATCAAGTCCTTGGCTTTCTCAGAGACAGGCACTTCTGGAGGGAATGCCAGTGTTTCCTTCCAGCTCATAACTTTCCTATATGTCTCCTGAGGTGTCTCAGAGCAGAAAGGTGGGAAGCCTGGGTGTCAGGGAAACAAAAATTACCAGCTTTGGTGATCAGTTCAACCAGACCTACAAGTACACGCCACGAGAAAAAAACCTGAGTGTTCTGTAGCGACATCTGTTTCTTATAGGTGTTGGTTTACTGTAAAACTACTAATGAAGTCCATAAGGATGTAAAGCCCCACCTCATCTTATCCGAACCCTGCATATGGCATCCGATAAGGGAAGCCATAGGGATCCTGGGCAGAAGAAGGTGGGGAATAGATTAAAAATGGCTCTGCTATTTTTGTCTGTCACAGAAGTATCCGCCAATAGAGGTATGTACCAATAGAAGTATCTGCCAATAGAGGTATGTATCATGCATGTAAACAGGACTCACCTATTAGCATTTCATACATGATCACTCCCAAGGACCACCAGTCACACAGTTTGTTGTAGCCAGTCTGCATGAAGACTTCTGGAGCAATGTAGTCTGGTGTTCCGACTGTGGAATATGCCTACAAAGCAGCATCCTGTCAAACTGGCATTCTGAACCTCTCAGACAACATCTGAGTGTGGATTAGTACAGGAAGAAGCACAGGACAAGCACCCCCTTACTGGTGACATGTAAGGCTGGGTGTCACATGTAAGGCTGACTGACAGGTGCTGAGTCAGGCACTGTGGACAGAACACAGGATGCTGGGCTGAGGAGAGACCCTTCTTCTACTTCAAAAGGGAGGAAAAGGCTGCGTCCAGTGGCCCTGACTTCTGCTCACTACTCATGTGGGCTGCTCTCTGAGCCTCAGCTTCTGCTCACCAAAGATCCAGGTGGGAGAACCTACAGCAGCTTGATCTGAGGCCGCAACAAAAAGCGCGCTCACAGGCTGCCTTCCTTAGAACGTAACTCCATCGAGTTACGTCAGGGGCTCTGTGCACCTTCCCCTTGATCCACATCAAATTCTACAAAACCATTATTAGCTGCTCTCAACAGGGGCACTATTGTAGAAATCACCAAAAGTGGGACAGAAGACGTCACTTCAGGGACCAGGGGACAATGAGACCTGCAGTGGGTGGGCTGAAGGAATCTCCTGACCCAGACATTGATGAACTCATCGCTGCTTCTTCCTCGGGAGCCACTGACCAACGACAATTTCTCTTTGGAGATACAGAAACCCTCTGCCATGCTTTTATTTATTTATGAAGACAGGGTCTCACTGTGAAGCCCAGGTTGGTCTCAGAACCCAGGATGCCCCTGCCTCAGCCTCTTAACTAGTGGGTTTCAGGTGAGCACCAATGCCAGCCCCTCAGACAAGTTTTTAAGGGGTATTTGTAAGGATTCAGGCATTATGCCCCTATCACCTGGCAGAATGCTCTCAGCCCAGGGTCCCATGAGTGCTAGTCTGCACACAGGTACAAAGGACCCCTTTAAAAGAAAGAGCCCCGCCCACTTATGCTCTTTCCCATTCTTTCCAGCTGTTCCCCTGGGGCAGACAGGACTTTTCCTGTCTCCCTCTTGTCTTCTGTCCTCTCTCTGTCTCTGTCTCTGTCTCTTCACCTCTTTTCTCTTTCCGTTCCACTCCCTCCCCGTTCTAATAAAACTTCTAAGTTCTGTCTGCCTGGCGTATTTGTTCCCCGCCTGCCCCCGCCCATGGAATCTGCCAAGGTTCCCCTCAAGCTTTGTCCCCTTGCCTTTAAAAACAGGAAGACTGTAGTATTTTCTCAAATGTAACATCTGATCTAAAACGACTCATTCAAAAACAGAATGAAGTTTTTTCCTTAACCAACAGATGAACACACTTTAAAAAGTTTATCAGAATATGAAGTTTGCTGCTAATTGGACCAATGACCAAATGAACTCAAAAATGCAAAATGTCATTTAATTGTGTTGGACATGGCAGGCTATTGTCACCTGAGTCTAGCATTTCCCAAGGGAACGGGGAGTCCCCAGCTTCATCATTGCTTACTTGAACTCAACAAATACTGACAAGGTATCTGTCTGCATGTGCTGGGCACTGTGTAAGAAACCAGGAAGACAAAGTCAAAGCTACACTCCTGATTGCAAATGTTCACACCTCAGTTAACTATACAAATGCAGACAGGAAAGGGAGGAAAGCAAGTCTTACATTTACTAAAAAAAGAGGGAAATGGCATTAGTGAGAAACAGCCAGGGCTGGAGAGATGGCTCAGAGGTTAAGAGCACTGACTGCTCTTCCAGAGGTCCTGAGTTCAATTCCTAGCAACCACATGGTGTCTCACAATCATCTGTAATGAGACCTGGTGCCCTCCTCTGGCCAGCAGGCATGTATGCAGGCAGAATATTGTATACATAATAAATAAATCTTAAACAACAACAACAACAACAACAAAAGAAACAGCCATAAAATTCAACGTTAGGGGCTAGGCTTGCCTATTGAGACAACTGTGTCACTGCCAACACCCCAAGCTTCCTGTTCCATTGGTTACAGGAGTTACACCACCCCAGGCAATGAGAACGCTGGCTATGGAGAGGAGGTGATGTCTCCTCCCTGTTCTCTGTACGAAGTAAGGGGATAGGGCCATAGTGAAAACAGACAAGAGTTAAAAGGAGGTATGGGTTAAACAGCCAAATCAGAAACACTAGGATGAGAAACAGAGCTTGCAGCTGGTTATGAGCTAGCCAAGGGGACCTGGTAAAAGAGACTTGGGATCTGAAAGAAAGGCCAGTGTTGGTGGTGGCTGCAGCTCCGGGAGACCCTCTCCTTCTGGAATGTACACTGGACTCTACTGCTCTTTTATGTCTGCTTCTCACTCACAGATTAGGTAGAGACAACATCAAGAAAACCCCACCTATCTCAGGAAGGACACCCAAGACCATCCCAATGACAGTTAACCAAGCTTAATTGCAGCTTCTTCTCTGTGGTGTGGGAACAAACAGCTTAGTGTAATCACAGACAGGAGGACAGAGGCTGGTGAAACGCCCGACAGCAACAGACAGTCACAGGCAATAACTAATAAAGCTGGAGTCACAGACAGACACAGCGAGGCTTCACCCCAACTAACTGGGTGGGCAGCATGTGAAGAACTCATGATCAGCTCCTGGCTGGGCCAAGACAGTGTGGTCCTCCACAGGCTCAGCCCATGACAGCCCAGAGAACTGGCCAGCCTCAGCAACTAGTGTCTGCAGAGCCCTTACGGATGAATCTCAACAGCCTTTTCTCTCAGGAACCCCGATATCACTCTAGGAAGCTTCTCTATTTTCTTCAGCTTCTTACTTTTCTGAAACCTCCGTCATAAAACACACTGCGCTCTGTTCACACCCACAAGTGTCTGAGTCTTTAATCTTCACTGGCAGCAGAAAACGCAGGAGGGGGTTGCTGTCCCAGTTGACCTTTGGTGACCCCGTCCCTGTCCACCTGTGCAGTTGGAGCTACTGAGGAAAGCACCTCGAGTTCCCAGGGGGACAGCATTCTTCAGGACTCACCAGCTGCCTCCTGTTCTTCTTCCACGTCTCCGCTTTTCGCTTCGAGTTCATGTTCTGAAACGCTAATTCCAACAAGACACCACGACCGTCAGAGGGGAAATGGACAAAAGATGCAACTGCACACCTACACCTAAAGCTCAGGCAACTCAGGAAGAGCGGGGGAGCCTCACTTCTTCACAGAACTAAAGTTCCAAGCTACAAAATTTCAACCAAAGGAAAAATGCAAACTTACAGAAGTCGCTTGGTGGGTTGTGTGTGAGGTTTCTATAGAATTCAGTCCTGTGCGCTTTCTTTAACCCCGTGCACAAACCAAAATCAGATAATTTTACATGTCCCTAAAACAACAACAAATTCCAGTGAAGTCATGTTAACTTTGAAGACAAAAAAGTCCTTAATATAAACTCTGATGCCATTATTATAAAAATTCTTAAAACACATACATCTAAAAATTTGAGATTATACATGTCTGAGGATGATTTTTAAAAACAGAAAACAGGGAGTTTTATTTTATTTTTTTTTTTGTAACCCATTTCCCGTGATGTTACTCCAGAACAGCCATTTATGTACTATCTATGAAAAAGTTTAGTTAATCCAAAACAACCCAAGCCACGGCTGCTGTCTGCAGCCAAGAAACCGGCATGAAAAACCCAAGGACTCTCCCGTTCCTCACATGCCTTGGCGTCCAGTAAAAGGTTGTCTGGCTTGATGTCCCGGTGGATGAAGCCCAGCTGGTGGATTGCGTCAATCGCCAAGACAGTCTCTGAGATGTAGAACTGCGTCTCCTCTTCTGTCAGGGTGTCCTTCTTCATCAGCAGCGTCATCATGTCACCTGCACAGGGCGAAGCACCGAGGGACTGCGAACGGGGAGGTGACTCGCCTCACCTTCCTGCATCCACCCCAATTTCTGTCTTCTCTCACATCCTCCTTCTGCTTTGCTCCCCACAGCCGTCAACAGCTTTAATCTTTGCTGCTGTGAGGCAGTGACCCCGAAGCCTCAGGCGCAGGTCCGTTCATAAACATCAGTAACTGTCTGGAGCCCTGGTGCTGTATCATGGGAGTGCGCAGCACACACCCTCTTGAGGAGACCCTCTTCAGACGTCCTTTGTACAGACTGTGTCATATTTGCGGTTTTATGACTTGCCCGGTACCTCAAACAACCCACCAAGTGCATGCAATGGTGTGTGTGGGGAGCATGCTAACTTATCAGGGCCAGAACAGAGTTTAGAAGCACGAAGAGTGAACAGGCACGCCTAGAAACCAGAATTCTGTCTTTCTGCATACAGGCTCTCTTCCCTTAACTCTACAGTGAACACAAAATGGTAATATATAAAATGTTATCCTAGCCGGGCGCTGGTGGCACATGCCTTTAATCCCAGCACTCAGAAGGCAGAGGCAGGCGGATCTCTTGACTTCGAGGCCAGCTTGGTCTACAGAGCAAGTGCCAGGATAGGCTCCAAAGCTACACAGAGAAACCCTGTCTCGAAAACCCAAATAATAATAATAGTAATAATAATAATAATAATAATAATAATAAATAAAATAAAATTTCATCCTAACAGTCCTTTGGAAATTACATGATTTGTGGCCAAATCATCTTCCATTATTCTGGAAGTAAATACTAAAAAAAATGATGGGTATGTATACACTCAATAAAATTCAGCAGTAAAACTGGGTGACATTATTACTTCATATGCAGATGAACTTATTACGTATGCAAATGAGCTCAGGTCTGTCTGCCACTGCTATTTACCTCCAGGAAGAAATTCCATGATCAGATAGAGATTCCGCTTGTCCTGAAAACTGTAGAACATCTTCACCACCCAGGCACCGTCTGCTTCCACCAAAATGTCTCTTTCTGCTCGGATATGAGCCACCTAGATGAATATGTTTTGAAAAGACAATTGACCCAGAAAGTCTCACTAAATATGCAGAACCCAGGAGGCTGTTTTTATCTTATTTCATTAAGCCTCGAGGGTGAGCAGAGAGCCAGCAGATTCTCCTCCACTGTGACAGGGCCCACAGGAGGAGACAGCAGCAGTGCTCAGGGAGCCTGTGTCTGCTCTTCCTGCGGTCACCAAGGACAGGGAGTGTGGTACCTGAAGGAAGGGAGCCAAGACAGCAACCATCAGAAACTAAAACCTACCCAACTTTCTGCCCTTGAACAGAACCACGAGAAAGTAATGGCTTTTGTCATTCACAGCCCCAGCCTTGCTGTTTTCTGATAGCAACAGAGCAAACTAACACAGAGGCTGTAAAGTTGGAAAGACTGAACTCTGAACTTAACAACTGAAAACACCAGACTATAAATTCAGTACCATCTAGTAAACGAGGTCTCTTTTATAATTTTCAGCATCAACACTGCCCTGAGCCCTCCCTCTCACAGAGGCCCTTGGCACTGTACATGTTGGGAGACACACCTGCTCTTTCTCAAGCATGTCTGATTTCCTCAGGATCTTCATGGCATAGATGTGCCCCGTGTCTTTCTTCTGGACCAGCCGCACCTGGAGCACAAACGCAAGCGCTGAACAGTGGGAACCACACACACACACACACACACACACACACACACACACACACACACATACATTTAAGGGGGGACAGGGATCTCATGTAGCCCAGGCTGGCCTTGAACTTATTATTATGTAGCTGGAGATGACCTTGAACTTCTGATCCTCCTGCCTCCATCTCCCAAGTGCTAGGAGTACAGAGGTGTGCCATCACACCCGGTTTCTATGATGCTGAGTCAAAGGCAGGGCTTTGTGGATACTAGGCAAGCACTCTTACCAACTGACCTATGACCTCGGAGCCTACGAACTATATTTAAACACCATACAACATCTACTTTCAACAATGGTGATGTGAACAAAGCAGCTCACCTCCCCGAAAGCTCCTCTCCCTATAACCTTCAGAGACTCAAAGTCATCCAGGCCAAGTCTGGTCCTCTTGAGCCGTAAGAACTCTGTTTCTTTGCGAGCATGCTGTGATCGGCGTAACTTTTTCTATGAAAAACAGAATTTAAAAAGATGATTTTAAAGTAACCCTGTCTCAAAGGCATGTGTAATGTTAAAAGACAACAGACATAAAAACAAAGACAGGCCGTGGGGGTGCACGCCTTTAATTCCAGCGCTTGGGAGGCAGAGACAGGTGGATCTCTGCGAGTTCAAGGCCAGCCTGGTCTACAGAGCGAGTTCCAGGACAGCCAGGGCAACACAGGGAAAGCTTGTCTTGGAAAACCAACAAAACAAAGCAACAAGAAACAAAGGCATAGCGACTGGAGAGAAGTCTCTGCAGCTAAGATGTGTGATGTTCTTGTAAAAGACACAAGCTCAGCTTCCAGCATCCATTCAGCTCCGGGCATCAGGTGACTCTGGGATCCTCAGGCATTGCACTCAAATGCACAAATCCACACTCACTCACACACATATAATTTTAAAGAAGTGAATGGATGGAGGTATGGTACCTTAATTATTATATGCTTGTCTATAATCTACTTGTCAAGTCAAGTATTTACTAAGCAAGGGAAGAATAAAATAGTATTAAGAAAACATTTTTAAAACAATTATTAAGTCTGTATCCTTGAAAGACTTTATGGGCTGCATCACCTTAACCAGTTTATTGTATGTGTAAGTTGATGCCTTCTGAATGGTAACTTAACTAACAAAAATAAATCTTAGACAGTGCAGATGCCAGGAGTGTTCTGGGATGTGTGTACCTACTTATTTTTGAGACAAGATCTCAGTGAGTAGCCCAGGCTTGCCTGGAACTCAAGGCAGTCCTCCTGCCCCAGTTCCTGAGTGTTGGGGTCACAGGCATCCATCACCAGGCTCTGCTTGCTTCCTCTGACACTTGTTTTTACTGTCAGGGAACTGGCTCCAATTCTTTACTTTCCAAGGTGCTGTCACCACTACTGTGACCTGCAGAAGTCACATAGCAGCAGTGTTCCCATGGAGATTTACTTAAGAGTGAAACCTGGGCTGAAAAGATGGCTCAGAGGTTAAGAGCACTGACTGTTCTTCCAGAGGTCCTGAGTTCAATTCCCAGAAACCATGTGGTAGCTCACAACCACCTTAAATGAGATCTGGTGCCCTCTGCTGGTGTGCAGGCAGAAGACTATACATAATAAATAAATAAATAAATAAATAAATAACATCTTTAAAAAATGAAACCCATTCTTGCATAAATTTCAGCAAATTTCGCAAAACTTCATACAAGTTTCCAACGACATGAAATTGCAAAATAATAATTACAAAGTAGCATTAAAATACCCAAGTTAGCTGGGAATGGTGGCACACACCTTCAATCCCAGCACTCAGGAAGCAGAGGCAGGTGGGGATCTGTGAGTTCCAGGTCAGCCAAGACTATAGAGACCCTGTATCAAAAACGAAAGAAAACCAATCAACCAATTAAAAAAAAAACAAACAAAACAAAACCATCCGAGTCAATACTATTACAGTAATACTCTGATTTGCAAAGATAACAAAATAAGAACTATTAATAAGCAACATTTTGAAATACCCAAAGGCTGCATCTGGAAATCATTTTCTTGTTCTAACCTCATTGACTCCTCATCTAAGAAAAATCAAGTTCATGACACAGTGATTGTTCCCAGTAGAGGCAGCACACACTGGAAAATAAAACCATTGAGCCCCTACTCATGTTCAAGTGATCCTATCAACCTTGAGGTCAGGGACTCAAGTCCTAGCACTCCCATCAGTTTGGACACACTGCTCCCAAAGCAGCTCAAAGCAGAGCCACTCACCTGTCCTGCACCTGTTTGTCTGTTGTAGAGTAGTAGGTGTCTAACTAGAAGTTAGGTGTCTAATTAAGTCTGCACATCATCAAAACAGAATTCTAATACTCGTAGCAGAGGTAGGAGGGAAACAAGGAATGTCTTCAGTTCACACAGTTCAATGAAGCTACATTAGTATTTTATTTAATCATAAGGATGCTTTGCCTGAATGTATGTCTGTGCACCGTGTGCATGCCTGGTGTTCACAGGTCAGGGGAGGGTGTCAGATCCCTGGAAACTCAAGTTACAAATGGTTGTGAGCTGTCATGTAATTGTTATAGATTGAATCTGGGCCCTCTGCAAGAACAGCTAGTGTTTTTAATTGCTAAGCTGTCTCTCCAGTCCCCAATTTGATTTGTGGCTGGCTGGCTGGCTGGCTGGCTGGCTGGCGTGCGTGCGTGCGTGCGTGCGTGCGTGCGTGCGTGTGTGTGTGTGTGTATACACCTTTGGATAGGAACCAGGTAATAAAGGAAATGAAGATATAGCAAATAGCAAATACTGTTTTATATATGTTACTTAAAAAATAAGACTGCACTTATCTTGGGGTTTGGGAAACTTTAACCCTTTAAATAGTCTAATGCAGCTAAAAGCACATCTATATGTTGTAGAATATTAGTTGAACATCTGTTTATGCTGTGGAATATGTTAATGGTGCAAAGATGTGTTGCATTCTTTATGTTGCATTTGTTCAACTCTGTGAAGCTGTGTGGCTTTGCCTGTCTGAAACACCTGATTGGTCTAATAAAGAGCTGAACAGCACAGTTAGGCAGAAGATAAAGGATAGGCGGGGTTGCCAGGCAGAGAGAATAAATAGAAGAGCAAAGAGGAGGAGAGGAGGACGCCAGAGGCCAGCCACCCACCTACACAGCCAGCCATGGAATAAGAAGGAAGTAAAGATATACAGAGAAGAGAAAGATGAAAGCTCAGAGCAAAAGGTAGATGGGATGACTTATGAAAAGCTGGCTGGAAACCAGCCAGGCTAAGGCTGGGCACTCGTAAGTAAGAAGACGTCTCCATGTGTTTACTTGGGATCTGGGTGGCGGGCCCCCAAAGAGCAAAAAATAAAAATACCAACATGAAGCTCGAATGTCCACAGCACCTGAAAAATTAAAAAAAAAAAAAAAAATGGACCTGGGTCCTTTAAAAGGTTCTGCCTTACAGCAAGCCCTTGAGCAACCAGTATAATAAGGAGGGGGGAAAGCTAAGAAAACAAAAAAAACAGAAAACAAAAAAATGCTATAATGCAAGCTTCGGCATTTTATTCTAGAGCTCTGGGTTTGAATGCAGTTCTCAGTCATGCACCTCTGTGTAGGGAGACATCATAACCATGCCTCCTAAGGGCTGGCTACAGATGTGCTTAACCACACCTGTCAGGGTATGGTCAGGGGATGTTCAGGATGACACATGGGGGATTCTTAAGGGGCAGCAGACACGTGGGAGCTCTCTCTAGCCTCCCTAGCTTGCTGCCTCTGGGCACGCTCTAGCTTGCGCTTGGCCGGTATTATTTGAATAAAGATATCTTAACCTACAAGCTCTCGTTACACCTCTGACCAGGTCTCCAGCTCTTGTAGGCTTTGCTTTCACAGATCCAAAAAGCTGGCAGAGCCAGATGCTAAAGCCAGCCGCAGAGGTCACTGCTTAGCCGTTTAAACGATCATGCAGTCAAAAAAGACTAGAGATATGCAGTAAAAAAGGTCCAGACAGGAAAAACAAAACAAAAAACCCTCTAAACAGGTTCCAGTGTGTTTAATAATGTGCACAGGCATAGGAAAAGAAGGATGCAGACAGTCATAGAAAGAAATAGTTTAAAAATAAAGTCTTTAAAGAGAGAAGTAAAGTAATATATATACAATATATATACATATGCATATATACGCACATCTATATATGTATATGTATATATAAAAATAAGCCACGTTAAAATGGGAAATACAGGGAGTCTGTCTGGATCCAGTGTGTTGCTATATTGACCTTAAATTTTTTGATTGCTGATAAGCAAATGACAACTGCTAAGAGACATGGGGTTGAAAGGATGCTGAAATAAACCAGCCTAGATATTTTAAGAGTAATTAACTTTAAGATGGAACTCAAAAATGCATTGCTTTGAAGAAGAGTTTTTGCTTGTATTTCCACAGGAAATGAGAAGCTGGGGGTTCCTTCAGGGTTGATATGGATCAGGTTTGATCAGGGGAGACATACTGAATCTTGACAGGTCATATATATTGATGGGGAAGGTCCTCCTGTGTATGTTTCTTATTGATTGTTGAATAAAGTTTAGCCAATGAGGCAGCAAGTCAGGGAGGATTCTGGGAAATGTAGTAAAAAGAAGTCTTGTGATACAGGCAGACTCATATATAAGCAGGGACAAACAGGAAGTCATACTCTTTCTCTTGCTCTTCCTCTGGTCTCTGCTCTGGAGTCGCCATGTGATCCACTGGCAAGAGAGGGTGCCAGCGGAAGGTGTCCTTGATAATATAAGGCTTGTACAATATATAGATTTATGATAATTAAGACTGAGCTAAAAAAAAAAAAGACTGAGCTAGCTGGGGGTGGATATGTAAATATGAGTGGTAATTAAAGAATTTAAATAAAAAATATATTTAAAAAAAAGACTGAACTAGCTGGGGGTAGATATGTAAATATGAGTGGTAATTAAAGAATTTAAATAAAAAATATATTTAAAAAAAAGACTGAACTAGCTGGGGGTAGATATGTAAATATGAGTGGTAATTAAAGAATTTAAATAAAAAATATATTTAAAAAAAAGACTGAACTAGCTGGGGCTAATGTAAGGAGCCGTTACAAGCTAGTGCGCATGCGCACTAGGTAACTTTGTAACTTTCCATCCCTTGGTCTCCGCCTCTCCCGTGACGTCATATGGTCCGATCAGCTAACGTCATATGGTCCGACGAGCTTCAGCCAGTCAGGGAGTAACACTTCTGAGGCGACTAAGGGATGGGTTTTTGGGAGTTCGGAGTCTCCGCTCTGTAAGCTGATGCTCTCCCTCTCAAGACGCATTAAAGCTTTACTGCAGAAGGATCCTGAGGAGTGTGCCGTGTCGTTTTTTGCTGGCGAGACGGTTAGCGCGGGACACCTTAATGTGGAGGCAGGCGGGACTCAGGCAGATGGAGTAAAGACTTACCATTACAATATATCAACAAGGATTACAGCTGGTCTTCCCAGGACTTGACCATTATCCCAATTTTTGCAGGGACCCTTAAAGTTGACTTCTCCCACAGACAACAGGAAGAAATCCAGAGAACATGATACCCACATTCCCAAGAGATGGGGTGATTGTTGGTTATTTGGTGGGTTATACATGCTTTTACTCTTGTTTGGGGTATTGTGCTTATGTAGCTCACTTAAAAATGCAATGTATAACTAAGACATGAGATTAGTAGTTAATCTATAATGATCAAATTTGCTCTGTGCATGGGTTGGCAGCTCTGAGACTTGGCTGGTTTTAAGTCCCAGAACTCGAGGTCTATCTTTTAAGGATCACTTGGTGGCACTGTAGCATTGTGTCCCTGTGGCAAAAAAAGGTGCCTGCTTTGATGTCTAATTACACACAATAAATGAACACAAGACTGTGGAAGATGGTTCTGAATTTGTCCTTCTCACTGCTGCAAAATAGCACAGTAGTGTTTAGCTACAGAAACCTGTCTCATCCCAACAGAAGATACCTGGCTGCAGTTTCATAAGATGTGCTTATGATCTACAGACAAGAGTCTGCCAAAAAACTCTCTAACAATAGCACCAAAAAATTGCAGTCACTGAGTATCTGACAGGTTCTCACGCCTGCAGGAACACAGCTCTCCAGCGACAAAACAGGAGTGACAATGTGCGTCACCGCATTCCGAATAGAGCACCAGCCCCAGGACACCCTACTCAGTGAGGTCAGCTCTTCAGACAGCACTGCAGTCAGCACTGCAGCCCGGTGGTAACTGAGGACTCACTGTACCTGCTCAGAGTGAACTGAAATAAGATCCCTGTGCTAACCCGGACTTTCCCCTCCTTAGGAAAGACCTGCAGGCAGATGGCTGCTTCACACAACTCTCTTCTGCAGCTTAAATCAATTATTTTGGTTTTCCCATTAATAAACTTCTACTTTGGATGACTTTTGCTAATCAGCGTATCTCCTCCCCTATGTTTTGAGGCAATCTCATTTTGTAGCTGGCAATTCTCTTGACTCCCCGTCTCCACCCCAGTGCTGGGATTAAAGACTCCTTTCCTCTTCAAATGATCAGATTCTCAATCTTCAGGATGCCCAGGCGTCTCTAAAGCAGTCAGGATATTTCAAAGGTCTGAGCTATTAAAGGGTTTAGCTAACAGCTTCCTGTCAGCCACTGCTGTACACAGCCACACACAGTTTAACCATCTCACGGCTCACTCATGAACCACTGCACAGACCATTTTCTGTTACAGAATAAATTAAAGGTATTAACTTTCACTGAAAAACTACGCTTGAAGGTAGCTCAGTTGGTAAAGTGCTTATCTTGCAGACACAAAGAACCAAGTTTAATCCCCACGATTTATGCAAACACGCCAGGTGAGGTGGCAAACACTTATAATCTCAGTACTGGGGAGGTAGAAACAGGTCAGCTGGCCAAGCAGCCTAACCTACTTAGTGAGCTCCAGGTCAACAAGGAAAAAGACAGTATTGCTGAGAACTGGTACCCCAGGTTGTCCTCTGGCCACATGCACCCCACACCTACACACATTCGTGAGAAAATTTTTTTTTTTTTTTTTTTTTTTAAGAAACAAGAAATTCTAACTCCTTATAATGACAGTTCTAACATTGAAGAGAATTGTTTTACACACAACATAATCAAAGCCCAAGCACTGAGCTTCACAATAAACACATAGGAATTTTGAAATACCTTCACAGAAAAAGTGGAACGTTTAAAAACAGATATTACGAACCACCGACTTTTAGAAGCAAAACAATGTGACATTTTCTAAGAGCTATTTACAAGAATTAAGAAAAAAATCATTAGTGCCCACCAGGGGGCGCCATGACCGCTACAAACAGGCCTTCCCAGACAGTTCTCTGCCTGCCACTTGGCAATATTTTTAAAAGCAGCTTAAAATTTTTTTATGCAAAAGTCCAGACTTCTAGATCTCGTACAACAGGAACCTGGCCACACTGGGCTAACAGAGGGGCAACTGTTTTGCAATCTGTCATCTGACATGCCAGATCTGAGCTCTTGGTGTCTGACAGGTCTTCATTAATATAAAGTGCAATATAAGAAAACAACAAAAAACCCAACTATTTCTTCCTCCTCTTCTTCCCTCATTTCCTTCCTTTTCCCCGAGACAGGGCCCTGCTATATACTGCAGGCTGTTCTTCAATGAACAGAGTCTCCAATGTGCTCAGCGGGGGCTTCTATTCTGGTAACCAACCTCTCCCTAAATTTATAATTTAGCCAGGCGTTGGTGGCACACGCCTTTAATCCCAGCACTCAGGAGGCAGAGGCAGGTGGATCTCTGTGAATTCGAAACCAGCCTGGTCTACAGAGTGAGTTCCAGGACAGCCTCCAAAACCACAGAGAAACCCTGTCTCGAAAAACCAAAAAAATAAAACCAAAAAAATAAAACAAAACAAAGCAAAACAAAAAAAACGAAACAGTGGATTTACCCATTCTACCATGGATAAAGTAGTCACGAATGATCTTAAAAACACATATTTATTTCCTGGCCTCTTCATGCTTTGGGTGAGCCTCTCTGGAAAGATGGTGCTTTCAGGCTATCCCAAGTACAGAAACCGTCAGTGTAGAATGTAGGACAAGTGGCTAAGCCATGAGGGAGGATTTCCCAGGGAAGTCAGACGTTAGGGAGGAGAAAGTGCTTCAAGAGACAGAAATAGCACATGAAAAGGGCCACAGATAAGCAGGAAAAAAAAAATCACAGCAATTGGGTACTGGTCAAGGCTGGATGACATGCCGAGAGCTAAGGCTAGAGAGAAACAGGCCACCAGAAAGAAGCCTGTACTGCATCACGTAAACTACTCTTCTACTATAACACAGTACCACAAGCAAGCAAACACAGAGACTGGGGGTTGGTGGGTGCACGGGGCATGACATCTCACTGAAGCCATCACAGGCAGGAAGGACAGTTAGCAGACTTCTGAGTACAGAAAAACTAGGGACAGGAGGAAGAGACCATTTCAAGACATTTATCAGCAAGATGCACAGCCTAAATTAGGGAGTAAATTGTTTAAAAAAATATTCAGGGAAAAAAATGTGAGAAGAGGGAATCGACAAGAAGGTCTAGAGCCCACCCATGTCCTGTACACCCAGAACACGATGGATGGACAGATGGGTGAGTGGGTGGATGGGTGGATGGAAGGAAGGATGAACAGACGGACAGACGGATGGTATCCAGAGTCCACCCCTGTCCTGCACACCCAGAACACGATGGATGGACAGATGTGTGAGTGGGTGGACGGGTGGGTAGGTGGGTAGGTGGATGGATGGACAGGTGGATGGAAGGAAGGATGGACAGACAGACAGACAGATGGTATCCAGAGCCCATTCCTGTCCTGCACACCCAGAACGCTGTGGATGGTATTCAGCAAATGTGATGCTCCTGGGGGCAAAGGCCCCCATCTCCTCCTCAGGTTCCCACACAGCAACACAGTAAGAAGCCACATTCAGATGGAGAAACCGACCATAGCCAAGCCACACAATCGGCTGACACGGTTTAGTACAAAAGGTTACGTTACCTCCTCATCTGCCAAGCCTTCTTCCTCCATGGCCACTTCTAGTTTCTTCTGCCTTTTCCAAAGAAAAAATAATTAGACTTTCTAAATGTGTTCCTATTTCCATTTGAGAACTACAGGTATTTATTGAAGCCAATCAATGGGCACATTATGCTAAGAAAATCTTTCAAATTGGACCAAGATTTAGCTATTCACTGTGGTCAGGACTCTTTCTTGAGATACTTAGACTTAGCATTTTCATACTGACCAAAGCTTTACTGTTTATCCCCCAGTACAAAATGACGTTCCCAGCTCAGGAGAGAGTCCAATGGCAGACACATATATTTGAAAACTGAAAAGTCATATATGTATAGGGCAATAACTACTGATCAGAACTTTTGCTTTTCTGGGTAAAGACAGGTTTGACTCTCTGGATTTTTCTTTTTTTTAATGTGAAGTTAAGCTGAGTATTTCCAATGGGGCTGCAGATGGTAACGAGGACCATGGAACACGTTTTGCCTCTCATTCTTAAGTGAACAGCATTTCATGTCTACAGTGTTGGTTTTTTCCTAACTATGGATCTGGACAACTCATCCTTAATTAGCTTTGGATTATACAACAGAAGACTAACACTCTTGAATCTACTCAAATGGGGTCAAGGATTGAGGCTCAAGTACCACAGTCTTTGTATCTGCTACTCATGAGAACCCAACGAAAGATAAGCTCCTTTTTAGGTCAGGACCTGGTACATCCCATTCTATGCCTCCTCCTCTTCCTCTTAACATGTGTGCACAATGCTCTTCCTGGTCAAATGTCACTGTCGTGTGGGAAGGGCGGTCAAAGCACATGTCCATTTTGGTCCCCACACTGCCACTCCCCGCTCTCTCATGTAGCATCTGTGTGCACCAGTTCCCCTTACCAAACTCCAAGTTTCACTGAGGCAAAATGACAGCCATTATTTTTCTCTATTCCCATTAATACAACACAGCACCACTAATGCTATACATTCGTCAGCAATTTCTAAAGCCATCTCTCCAAAGGACAGCACAAAGGCACACCACAATGCCACAGCCGGAAAGATCTGTGTTAAACACAACTGACATGTGATGTGAGCACACGTACACAAGACTCTGGAAACCGGGAAATGAAACAAGCAACCAGGTCCAGGCAACTTAACAGAGGGCAGGGCTCCCGTCCAGTCACAGACAACCAACAAACCTTTAGCCTTTACTGTACCTGGTTTCTCTCTCTTCGTGCTGTAAAATTAGGTTGCTGTAAAAATTCTCCAGTGTGAGCTTGGCCACAGTCACTCTTTCCCTGGTATGGTTGCTCATAGGAAAGGTGGTTGCTGCCCCAGCTGTCACTGCCATAGTAATGGGACCTGAAATGACATAAAAAGAGCAAATTCTTCAGCAGTTTTTACAAAAACCAAACGTCCTGCTTCTTTTATCGAACTCTAAAAATGCTTACTTTCTACTAAGAATGATTCTATTAGTTAACAACCCAGGTTTCTTAATTAAAATAATACAAAACTAATAATAAACAGATGCAAGCCAGGTGTAGTGCCTCACACCTGGAACACCAGCACTAACCACCTTCCCCCAACAGATGCACAGGTTCCAAAGCCAGGGAAATTGATTCTGTTCTGGAAAAACCAGGAGCTAATTACGGGAGGATGCATTGGTGGCAGTCCACACACTCACAGGCTGGTTAGCTCACAAAAGGCAGCAGTGTGCAGCAGTGTTCAAAACAAGGAAGTTCCGGTCCGTTTTGCTGATTTACTGACCACCTGTCAAACTTTGTAAGATTTTGCCAATAGTTCCATTCCTAATAAATATGTCTCTAAAGATAGAATGTGTTTTCAATGGTATCCTATCAAACATGCATGCAGGCAGGCACCAGCACTCTGTGCAGGTGTATGCTTTAGAGATGGGTCACAAATGCTCTTTCCACCCCAAATTCTGTTTCTGCAACAGCACAAGATGCAGCACTTTTTTTCCAGGCTATGAGGCACACTTCATTTTCCAACGGGGCTCAAATGCCTTTGAAAACCAGGCAGTGACTATAAAAACACGTGAATCAGTTCTGAATGGCGTATGTCTGCTCAGAGGCGTCCAAGTGCCAACTTTGATGAACCACTGGTATTAAGGTCATTTCAACCCTTAGGAAGGCAAGGAATTCGGCAAAACAGCTGTTTCACAGAAAGACAATCTGCTCTACAGGTCTCTGTGGTGGTACTTCTGCAACATTTGCTTACCACAGGCTTTGATAAGCCAAAAAGACAGCACAGATCACACATAAAGGAGTTTGGGTACCTAGAAGAGGGTCCTAACAGACCATCTGGATGAGAGATGGCTTGCCAGGTGAGCATCCCAAGTTCCACTCAGCCGACCAGCATTCCCTGAGAACTTTACACCACCTGCCGCTGTAAAGACATGAAGACACCGGGCTCTGCTTGCAGACCTGAGCAGAACTGGAAGCCAGGGATAGGAAAGAAACAAAGAGCTACTGTTCGTCAGGCACAGACTGGAAGTGTGTGATTTAGCGGTGGTGAACTCCCATTTCCCTTGCTGTCTCGTGGACTTAAGCAGACAGGGTTCTACTGTGTGAGCCTCACACTCACCACAAAGCTGTGCTGCAGACCAGTTAACTCTCTGTGATGAGAAGCTCACCCCCGCCCTTGTTTAAAACTTACATGGGTTCTTCTGCACACACCACGTCAAATTAGTACACAAAGTGTAGCTGGCAGAAGCCAGCGATGGGCATCTCAGGACAACTGTATTTCATTTGTTGACCGAGGACCTAGAACAGCAGTCCTCACTGCATCCTTCCAGCAGGGAACTGGAGCTTGGGGAAGCTCACACAGCAATGGGCTGTGCAGTGGGGACTCAACCCCAACTTCAGCCCCCCTCCTGCCTACAGTCCATCACATGAGCTCCCTTAAACCACTTGGACATGTGGGAACCTGCTGATCCTCTGTGGCTTTACCTTGTCTCACTGCTCACTCTTTGGTGGGAGGGCTCTGCATCCGCACCTCGGTCGCTGGCGTGCGTCATGACAATCAGCTGCCCTCTGCTCTAAACTAGAACTTCTCTGAGCACTCTCTCCCAAATTCCTTCTAGAACATTCACCACCATGTCATATCTGACACAGGGCGGATGGTAATGAATGATGGAGACCACCTCGTAAAAAAGAGCAGCAGGAAGGGATGAAAGAGCTGGAAAAGAGCGAGGCTCTCTGATACCTGGAGTCAGAGATACAGTTCTGATCCATCCAGATCCTAAAGTCTGACCCCAGTCACTTTCCCAAGAGGGGACTGCAACTTGTGCTCTGCTGACTTCACAGGCCCCAGGCCATGTCAGGTTAGTGCCGGGGAAACCCATAAGGTACCTCTCTGTCAGCACTGCACGCAGCTTTTTTTAAAAATAAACTGCTGCATGGTATAACAGCATTTCTTTAAAAATCAATAACAAGAGAGTGTTCCAAGGATTGCCACAAGATCTGTAAGGACTCCACCACTTAACTGAACCCTAAACAAAAACGTTTTTTAAAATCTCAGAATCCCAGGCTCAAGTTCTGTTCCAAGATCAGACTCAGAAAAGGCGACAGTCAGGAAAGAGAAACAGCTGTGTCACACGGCCAACATCTCCCAAATCATGTCTGCTGTCAGGATTTGTGGGGGGACCAAAGAATCAAAGGAAATTTAAGAAACCTAGATGACAATTAAGAAAGACACTCAGGGCAAAAGTTGCCAGCTTTCCTATATCAGCATGTGTGCACCCTCAAGGGAGTAGGCAGAGTCCTGAGAGCTTCCTCAAGGCCCAGGAAGTGTCAGCTACTTTTCCAACAAACACTATTTGGGAGCAAGGGTCCTCAAGAGCTCCAGCCAAGTGCAATTCCTAATGACTTCAGGATCTGTGTGTCTTTTCTTTGGCAACAAGTGATCACAAGCTGGGAAATGCCCAGCTGAGAAGACAACAAGTGCTGTACCAGTTCCCAGAAGCAAAAACCAGGCAAGAGCACTACTCCAGGACAACAAAAATCCTTCCACAGAGCTAAGGAGGAACCATGCTTTTCTTAAAACCTCCTTTAAGAATGCAAAGTAACACTGATCATGGAGTTATATGACTTGTAAGCAATACTTACATAAGTCAGAAAAAGGAGCAAGCCGACTGGTTGCAGCCGGGTGGTGCAGAATGTTTCCGGCTTATCAGCCAACATGCAAGATCTAGTGGCCAATCAAATTCTGGAAGATACTATATCCTCACCAAGCTTAGGGAAGACTGGTGTAGAGAGCAGAAAAAGCAGTGTGCAGACTGGTCACACAGCAGGAGGTGGGCCAGGAGCAGCAGGACCCAATACTGTCACAAAGCACTCCATCACTACAGGCCAGGAAAAAGAAGTCTGAATTAGGTTGGTGCTGTTGCTAGGAAACCAGGCTGGTATCTAGAGAGAATAGTCACTCAATGTAAACATTCAGTGATTTCAGGATGGGGTGGGGGGCATGGCTAAAGAACGGATCCCTGTCTCCCTGGGGTCCCCAGCCACTGCCAAGTGCTGGAGGAGATGATGACACTTAACTGCCAAAGTTGACCAAACTCGCCTTTAGGAGCAGGTCTGCAGGCCACAGGAGAAAGGCAGATGGCTAAGTAGAATCTTGGAAGACATTTTTGTGTAGCACATACACAGGTGAGGGGGAAATAAAACAACTGTCAAGTCCCAGAGAGTGCCTGCATTAGACATACAGAGAGAGCAAACAAGGCCCAAATGCGCACTTTTGAACCTGGGTCTTTGTAAAGAATACGCAGATAAGACCTCCTTCCTCCCCAGATGATGACGCAACGGTCTTTACTCCGAAACCCAAAGCAGATGTGAATGAAAACTATTTTTAGGCCCTTTATAATTGTCACTCGCATAGTCTTTCCATTCTTGTTAGATGCACCTCAAAGTCCACATAGCTTGACTGAAAACCAGGCCAGAGCAAATGCTGTCCCTGCCTCTACAGTCAATGCCTGCAGCACTGGGCAGGCATTGTGAGTGCCATGCTAACACCGTTTGAATCTGGTGAGTTGGGTCCATGCATACACCCACCTGCAATCATTTCACTTGGGTACAAAGTTACAAAACCACCTGGTGCTGTGTTTACCTTCAGAAGGAAGTTTTCCTTCGGAGACGGGTGTGCAGTGAAGCCCAACCCCAGCCCTTGGTGAGATTAGCTTTTACAAGGAAGAACTTTTCTAACCAAACACAGGCAGTCTTTAAATTTGTAAACCTACACCTTTAACGGACTTAACACTGGTCTTTGTCTTTTATTAAAGCCTTTCTCTAGCCAGAAAAAGACAAGATACAACCTGTAAGCCTAGAATTCCTGGATTGAGAAACATACACTAGTGCCCTTCAATTTCCTGTTCACTTAAACAAGTGACCCCCAATTCATCAGGGAAATACTATCAACAGTGAAGTCTAGCATTCTTTAGCAGAAGGGACACACACACACACACTCACACACATCTATATAAGCAGAAGTGTGTCTCCTTCAAAGGCAGAACGCAGTGGCCTTCACCTGACCCTGAATTTCACTTCACTATCTTTAACACTCCTGGAATGTCTCGCAGTGTGAAGTCTCCTAGCCCTTTCTGACTGTGGTCCTGATGCCTGGAGCTGCAGCACTCCCAGATGCTGGGTCCTTGATGTAAGAGCAGCCAACCACAGCCTCTTCCCCAGTGCCGATGAGAAAGCCAGAAATTCAGTCAGTTCAAGTTCAACACTGAGCATATATTAAAAACTCAAAATATATTATGTATGTGGAGGTCATATGCAGCTTTTTAAACAGCACATCTGTAAACCAAGACCTTAAAAAGACAATAGATAAAAAGAGCATAAACCATACATGTTCAACATCACCAGCCAATCAAAGCACAGAGAAGCTGACAGGCTACGAGATGCTCTCTGCCTTGACACAGAGTGCTCCTCCAGGTGTCAGCCTGCATCATGGCACAGAGCCAGAGCCCTGCACCACAGTGGACCTGAGTTCTGTCCTAGGAACCAAAGGACTCTGAGAAGAGTTGATGTCATGGATCAAACTAAAAACAGAAAGAGGATGACTAGTGAGGACGATCCTGAAGAGACTTTCTCGGTCTCACAGGGAGACGCAAAACTGCCTTATTACAGGGCTCAAATCACCAGTCTTTTCAAGTGACTTCCCTGCCAATGACTCAGGTTTACACTGAAGTCACAGACCAGGGCAGCACAAATCTGCACTCCTCGACTACATTCCTGCAGTATAAGGCAAGGGGGCTTCCAACATGCAGAGAGGAGGAACAGAGACAAGCTCCAGATGTGAGGAGGAGCCTGCCCCCTCTGTGCCCTCTGTATTCCAAG